ATTTCCGTAATCAGGGCATCGAATCATCTGCAGGCAAATTTACGGTAGTTTCTTAAGTGTACGGTGCTTATCTACCGGAAATTGCGGTACATAGAGAGGTTATAAGCCCTTGTGGTTTGTCCTGTGAGACAGATTTACTCGTAACTCACTTTTTAGCTCGCGTACCGCCGGTGCAATTCAGTGAAGTTCTTTTCGTCAGTTTCACCCACTCTGACGAACGAGTGCAGTTTAGGACGATGCTCGGCGAGGCGTCGACTGTACGGCGAATGAGGCAACGGCTCTAGCTTTCCCTCTCGGTTTTTCCATATTCGATCTTCTTCCGGTTCAACTGAAAGACTCATCATTGCAAGGAGTGAGCACACCTCTAGTTTCCTATTCATGGGGATATTTGTGTTATGCGGCGTTCAGTAATAGAGATGATAAGCTGTAGGAGTATTGCGAAGTGTTCCTACCATTTGTTGAAACATAATTACCGATCAAAGGTACGCCACATGTGTGCTGGGCACCTACAAGCCACCTGTCGAAATAGCTGCTAGGGCCAAAACAATGTGCGCCTGGGTCAGAGTGATAACTTGGGGGCAGGATCAAGGTGTGCGTCGAGATACTTTGTGCTCAAGGGAGCTCAACTTAGATTCCCCAGTTCGTTTCCGAGTAAAAGACGTAAATCGTCTCGTAATTATTCAGGTAGACTTTCACTAAAGGCAGAATTTACGATGAAAAGTTAGCTCATTACAAGAGGGGGTCAGTGGAACAGGGATGAAGAAGAACCATGAGAAACGGCCCAGAACCCGAGAAATGGGACCCCTTCCTTGCCCGTTGATTTGCGCATTGATGCGACTCTCATCGCTGTGCCCTCTTCAACACTACGCTCTCTCTGCTATCTAATCACTCGCCACGTATAGACCTGCGGCGAGTGATTAGATAGTCGGTGGGCGTACCCCGCCAAACCGCGCCAAGAGTGAGCCATGCTAGATCGCCGAGGTCAAATCTTTCGCTGCCAATTGCGCGTCGGTCAGCACCCTCAGGAGGTCCGCCTGTCTCCCAACTATGCAATTTTCCCCTTCTTTGACCTTCGTTCTTATCGGGAATTCCTCCTTTGATCACAAATGCTTACCATGGGCTATCCTTACCTCAGGCTGAGGAGGAAAGATCCTTTTGAGGTTACTTTTTTCAGCGAAACTTTAGGTCGATTCTGGTTGGAGAGACAGAGAAACTTCAAAGGGTTTTTCTTTTTCCCTAGCCCGTGGGAAGGATAGGATACGGCTCCAGGATGACGCGTTTCACTATCCTAAAATATCCTCTGCTAAAATGGGTCCTTCATAC